GCAGGAATGGGCTGCAGAACCACTGACACATCCCCTTCCTTCTTTCTGGTCCCGGTGGCCACTGCTTCTCCTCACCAGTGCAGATACAGCAAAGCTACAGAAATACTATTTGCTTTCTGGCAGTCTGGTGCTATCACTCTCAATACCTACGAGAAGCAGTTTGTTTCATATATACTCAACATGTGTAAGTCAGAAGCACTTCTGGCTGGAACGAGGAACAAGTTTCACGTCTCATTCCAGTCTAACTTATGAGCATTCCAAAGGGAGTGACTGAGACTGCAACAGGGATCAGAGGGAAGAGGGATGGGAGATGCCGGCCATGGGCACAAAGGCATAATTATCCAGATTTCTTCTTTATTTTATATCCAAATTAGAATAATGAAATCAGAAAGAAGTAACTGAATTTCTTAGATATATTTATTTTATTTGCTCAAAAAGCAGAGAATTAAGAGGAAAATATGATTAAATCACTGCTTTCGTTGCATCTCATTTCCAATGGGTATTTTCTACTTAACACGTATACTAATTCTTCAAGTGAAGGTTTCTCTAATAGCTGTAAACCCATAAAAACTGTTCTCTAAAGGCCAGCTGTAAAGGAAAAGATGAGAAATCTGGGCCCTGAGCAAATATCTTTTCATCCTTCCTTTTCCCCTCAGATTGTGGAATAGGAAAAACTGACTAATAACACATCAGAGATTTCACACATTTTAAGCATTCCTCTCTCAATATATCTCTCCAAAATATAAACCAGGTTTACTATATTGGTAGACAGTGTGAGAGAGAGCAGTGTGGTTTCTAAGACTGGCTGAGCATCAGACTCATATGGGATGTTTAAAAAAATACAACAAATACAGTTCCCTAGCCTGACATAGAAGTGGACAAGAAGAATCTAGACTTTTCTATAACTCTGCAGAAATTCTGATGATCAGTTAAATTCAAGTGCGATTTATATAGAGGAAAGAACCCTGAATAGTTCATACTTATCTGCCAGGCTGCTACTCTTGCCAAACCTCTAGGAAGCCTTCCAGGACACCCTCTACTCCCGTATCCAGGTTAGATGCCTCCCCACACACTTTACCCCATGTACCCCCATAGAATCCTCTATGGCATTCATCTTATAGGATTATAGCTCTTATCGAATTGGCTCTCCAATGAAGCTGAGTTTGATGGTCATGAGTTTCAATATTATCATGTGTTTTGATATTCCCAATATCTGACGCCAACCCCTGGCATTTGTCAGGCAACCAATAAATGTTCATCAGAGAAATGACTAAAGAATCAGAAATCACAGATTTTATAACTAGTTTTCTTCAATTGTGTGACTTTTGTCAATTTACTTCTCTGAGTCTCATTTTCTCCTCAAAAATGAAGATACTGAACTAGATAATGTCTTATGGAGCCTCCAGTTACAGAGCTCAAGTCAAGATAAAACTATATCAAAGCATAGCAATGTTCTATCTATGTAAGGCTGCAAACGTTGAGTAGCACGGAGCATACAGTCGATAAATATCTGCAGAATAAAATGGTGCTTTTCCTTTTTTTCCTATTCACAAACAACCTGGATTATAGGAAAATTTGTCACATTTTCAATGAGGATAGCATCAAATCTCAAGTATGGTATTGTTTTTACAAGACAGGAATTTCAGATTTAGGTGTTTATGTAATTCCAACAGTCTTTCAATCAGGTAAGCATTGGTTCTCTAAAATTTGTGGATAGAGCTCTCAACAACTAACCAATTTAATAAATGCATATTGATTAAAAGTTTAACTGTTTTCAACACTAGCCTGTTAAGCTCCATGAGAACAGGGATAATGTCTGTCTTATTCACTGGTGACCCAACACCTAGCAAGTGCCTGGCTCATATCAAAGTGCCAGTAAACATTTATTAGATGGATGGGTACTGCTTAAATTAACAGTGGCTCCAGAATAACTGAAGAAGGAGGTTATAAATCATGGTATGTTCTGGCCCATTCTTTTCTAAAGTTGCTTATAAACTACAGAATTATCTGGCCCAAAATTTTGTGAGACATGTCTTAATCATCTGTAATAGTTTTGACAATAAAATACCAATGATTAACTATTAATTAACATCCCAAACTCAAAACATGACAAATATTTAAGGTGAATTAATTTATTAAGAAAAATACATATATCACTAAATTTACTATTCACTGCTTCTAAATATATATTTTTTTAATAAAGTACTTACTTCTACAATCATCTTTAATATCTATTGTAGCAAATGGCATATCTACCAGGGAATCCATAGTATTGGCTTCAAATTCTTCTGGCATTTCCTTTATTCTTGACACAGTTTCACATTCATTGGAATTTATTCCTCCTTTATATATCAAAAAAAGAAAAATGTATTATTTAACTTATTTAACATATCCTCAACAACTGAATTCACTATAAATTAACATCTGTTAATTTAAGAAGTGGTACAACTTGAATTCAAATTTATTATAAAGCTATTTATTTTAATATTATTTATACCAGTCTACATCTTTATAAATATATTTTTATGCTAAACAACTTTAATAATTTTCTGAAGCACAGTATTCAACTTAGGGTTAGATGAAGACTGAGTTAATCTATATCTTCAAGATCTTCTATAGCAATTTTTTAATTCTAAACTATATTTTTTACATACCATTTGAAATCAAACCAATAGGTTTTGTCAGTCTTTTTCACATTTCTTTTTAACAATATCACTATGTATGTGTTATGACTTATATTTATTTTCTTTGATAAAGACTCTTAAATTTTTTCTCTCCATAACATTAACATTGAAAATTCAGTCAAAAATATATGGCTCTAAGTATGCTTTTCTGGAAATTTAATAATTATAAAGCAAAAGGTCTTAGTTTACTATGAGTCTAATTATAAACTCACAACTATTGAAATATGTAAGAACAAGTAATAGTTTCCTATTTTTATGCTTGCATTAAAAAATACAAATGCAGTTTATACTTCACCAAAAGTTATAATAGATCAATATAAAAGTTTTAATAGGTAAATAGATATCTTCTACCTTTTGGCATATGCAGCTACACAAAGAATAATCATCAATCATGTAGCTTAAAATTGAAATGCTAGCAACAGAGTAGGGTTTGTGCAATTAAATATGTATAAGGCTGAATGAAAACCAGAACAAAATGAAATATATTATTCTTAATCTAAGAAATTTCTCTATATTATTCTTAATCTAAGAAATTTGTAATAAATTCTAAGGATATAATGTACAGCATGGTAACTATAATCTGTAGTTAATAACACTGTATTTTGTAGTTAAAATTTAATAATAGATGTTAAGCATTCTCACCAAAAAACAAAAACAAAAACTGTGAGGTGATACATATGGTAATTGTGGTAATTATTTCACAATGTATACGTATATCAGATCATTACACTGTATACTTTAAACAGACACAAATTTTGTCAATTATACCTCAATAAAGCTAGGGAGGAAAGAACTTTACTATATGAAATTGACCCATTTAGCACTGATATCTCAATACTAGCTCCGAAGTCCATGTGCCACTTAGACATATACTGAACTCTTGGCATTATGTGGAATGAATGGGTTAGGGAGGCTGACTTCTGTGCTCTAATAATACATTTTGAAGGCAAGAAGAAGAATTAAATAACATAATGAATTAAATTTAGTCTTTTTTTAGTGAAAAAAGTTCTTGAAATAGTTCAACAGTTTATCTTGAGCTCAATTAATCAACAACAGTTAGAGAACAAGAGCTATGCAGAGCACTCTGGCTATACCGAAAAGAGAATCATGCAGTGGCAATGGTGATGATAGTGGCATTTAGGTATTGATGCAAGGCAAGGGGCAGCTGTAACAGAAAGGATCTGGGACTAGAAATCAGGAGACAGATATTCTAGTATTGGCCCGGCCTTTCACTAGCTGGGTGACCCCAGGCAAGTCATGTAAACTTTCTAGGCCCAAGTAGTTATCTCTTAGATAAGTAGTCCACAACCTTTTTGGCACCAAGGACTGGTACTTCTATGAGAATCTAATGCCTGATGATCTGATGTGGAGCTGAGGCAGTGATGCTAGTGCTGGGTCGCGGCTGCAAATACAGATGAAGCTTTGCTTTCTTGCCGCTCACCTGCTATGGTGTGTCCCACTTCCTAGGTTCCTAATAGGCCACAGACCTGTATCGGTCCAAGGCCCAGGGGTTTGGGGACCCCTGTCTTAGCTGACAAAGTTGTCCTAGTTGGTTCTACAGCAGACTGGGAGATTGAATTAACAATTGAGAACAATCAACTTAAAAGCAAAGACTAAGATGAGAGGTTTACTGTCAAAGAAAACTTTCCTGATCCCCAGCTCAGCGCTGAGTTAGGTAATCCAGTCTCTTTCCAGTACCTAGTGCTTCCTCCAGTCACAGCACAAATACATTCTGTTACAGATGTCTACTTGTCTGCCTTTCCATTAGACTCTAAGCTAAAGGCTCCAAATAATTTTCCACCCAAACCCAGGACTCCTTTGAGTGAAAGGGGGAGCTTTTTACGATTACACCCCTTTCAGTATGGTCACCCTACTCTAAGTTCCTTAAGTATCATGCCTTACTTTCCTTTGATTCCTCAATGCCTAGCACAGTGTTCATCTCACAGCTGGTGATCAATACATGTGTACTGAATGCATCAAGGTAAGTACACATTTGGGAGTAGTTAACAAATCACTCAAGCTACACTGCAATATAGTTATCTCAATGCCCAAGAAAAAAATAATTCCTGGTGTTTAATGGCAGCTTCAGTACATCATAGATTCTCATTTTCACAAGATGAGTGAAGGAAAGGTACTACTATCCCATATGACATAAAAATAAAAATTGAAGCATTATATGACTCGCTCAACATCATTATCCATTTTGTTAAAGCATATATAAACTCTAATGATTATGTCAAAATCAAGGAGTCTAGAACGTGAAATACAAACTTTATTACATTAAATTACAGAATAAATGAAACAATTTTTTAAGATATGAATTATTAACTCAAGAAAAATAGAATACCACTTCCAAGTAACTGGTCATTCTATAGAGCAATATTTCTCAATGGAGTTCAAATCTACAAACCTTCCTCGAGTTTTCTAAGCTTTAGTGTTTGGACAAAGGCTGGCAGACATAAATTAAACATATATCCATCATAATGACATTTTCTTTTACGGAAGGTATAAATATTTTGCTTTTGGAAAACTGCCTTAAAACAACTGACCCTAAAATAAAGCATCTAAACTATAAATTGTTTTGAGTACTTAAAATTTGGTCTAACCATAGTTAAAATAAAATTCTATCTTTTGTACAAATCCAAATAAAAATAATGCTGCTAAGGGCACTAATAACAAAGTTGAGGTGAAACTGGCAAACTACTACTGCTATTAACAGCAGCAGCTAACATTTGAGTACGTACTATAAATCAGGCACAGCCGGAAGCATTTTGCAGATAGTAATTCATTTAACTCACACAACTGTGCTATCCCGAAGGTACTTTTTTACTGATTTTACAGACTAGCTAATTAAGTAACTTGCCCATGGCTACAGCTAGGTCTTGGGGCCAGAATTTAAACTCAGTCACCCTGCTGCCAAAACCTGCCCTTTCAAGCAACATGCCCTACTGCCTCTTAACATAGTTTATGGCACTGTAAATTGAGGTAATCCTTTCAGAAAGCAGTCTGGCAACAGATCAGGAGCCATGAAAATGTTCTTCTTACTGTATCTGTGCATCTATCATATATGCTGACATAGACTCCTCATAGGTTTAAACATAAAAGAAAAAGTGAAACAGCTTAAATGCCTAATAATAAATATACTCACTCTAATGACAAGGAAGGAAAATGGCTATAAGGATTGCAACGAACAAAAGATTTATACCAAATACTGACTTTAAAAAGCAAAGACAGTACTACATATGCTCTATGGTTACAATTACATAGGAAGATGCTAAAAGATATGTATTTAATATATTTGTATTTTTCCACTTTCCGGTATTCAAATCTCTTAAACTGCATACTACTTTTATAAGAAAATAATTACTGCATACATTTAATATATTACAAAACCATACATTAAGTATACGTTAATATTCAAATATAAGTACATTCCAGCAAATGACTTCATCGTTGACCCGCCAATAAAAGTAAAAAGGATAGACAGTTGGCTTTTGGTAGCATAAAATGTAAGTTTCCTATCTGGATAGTAAAATATGACTTTATTAAGCAAGACTCTTCTATTCACTCTACTAGGTATATACAGTATGTATAGTCCCCAAGAATCGATGGAAAGAGTCAATAGCATCCATGCTAGACCTGGCTTAGCTACTAAAAACAGTAGCATCTTACATCTGGATAAATGTTGAGAGCTGTGTGATAATCAACAAGTCAACTGATCTCCAAGCTTTGGTTTCCTCATAAAAAGAAAACAAAAGTACAATCCAAATTACTAGAGATAAACGGACAAAATAAGTTGACTATCTTCAAAAGAATATAAGTAGACAGTAACCTCCAAAAACATCTTAAACTTTGTTAAGGAGCAAGGAAGAGACCCAGATACGCTATCTCAAAACCTCAAACTCTCCGACCCCACCCACAAGGCCTTAAAGATTTTTCCCATAATTGTAAACATATTTACAGTAGTTAACGGCTATTATATAACACATTTTAATGTTTTCTATCTTTTTATGCGTTTATACTACAAAGAGCTCGCAGAGCACCTTCTAATTGGCTCTTGGTCCCTTTCACCGAAAGCCTAAACCCTAACTCGCTCAACGAACAAACTTCAGTTCACAGTAAATGCTGACCTAAGCTGGAAATTAATACTGGGCCCTGCTACAGATTTGGCGCCCGTTTAAAAAGGTCGTTTCTACACCTAGAAGAAAATCCTAAACGAAACAGTGTGGTGGGTCAGGTCTTTAATGTTTGTGATGTAGGATAAAAACCGAGATTTTTCTAGGTTTTGTGGACCACGCACCGTCGGAGGGTGTGTGACAGCAACAAGTCTGTACTAAGGGTCAGAGACCAGAAAAGCAGAGACAAAACTGAAACTTGGGGTGGGTTCACATCCCTCGCCTCCCGCCGCACCAACAACAAACAGTGCGTGCACTAAAACGCGTAGTTACAAGCAGCACTGATCACACCCCCTTGCACGGGGGTCCTCGGCGCTACACCGAGTCCTGCTCTGAGGGAAGGACAGGAGACTCCGCGCGCTCGGGGCGCCGGGGGTGGGTGCG